TAGTCGTTACATGGACCCTTCTACAACTCTGCCGCAGCACACTGACATGTCTACTCACATTTAGGCATGTGAATAAAGCATTACATTAAACATCATAATTAAAGTACGGTGGGGTCGCCGGGGTCGGCGTAGTGGAAAGTTAGTGAAGCTGAAGACCCATTTGATGTGCTCCACTTCCTTCCTTCGGACGGATTGGGAACTGTATTCTTCCTTCGTGGTGTCTCGGCATCTTTTGGATCCTACCGATGCCTGTTTGATGCCTGTTGTGGGTGGTGAAGTGGGTCCTCAGCCTGTTAGGCCCTGTTTTCGCGGCTCCGATGGCGTGGTGTGGATCATCATGTTCTGAAGACGAGTTTTCCGGCCGGCAGTGTCACAGGCTCAGGGCCTGGTAAGGATTGGCCTGGTGATTGCTCGGTCGTTAAGGAATAAGACTTTTATTCTAAGGACTTTTTTAGCTCCCGGGACCTGGATTTTCTTTTTCTGACAGAGACATGGGCTGATGCTGGTGAGTTCAGTACTTTTAATGAACTTTTGCCGGCTGGATGTTCCTATTTTGGCTTGCCACAGGTGTCAGAATGTGGAGGTGGGACAGTGTCTGTTTTTAAGAACAATTTCTTTTGTAAGCAGTGTACCTTACCATTTCCCTTATTCTCTAGTTTTGAACTGACTTTATTCGAACTGGGTCGGTCTGATCCAGTGTTGTGTTATTTACAGGCCACCCAAATATAATAAGAAGTTTGTGGATTACTTTTTGGATTTTCTGTCTGGTATTATGCCCTATTATGATCATATTCTTTTATTGGGTGATTTTAATATGCATGTGTGCTGCCCGGATAAACCACTGGTGAAAGAATTTCTAGCTGCTCTTGATGCTTTTGATTTGGTGCAATATGTGACTGGTCCTACACATGAGCAGGGTCATACGTTGGATCTTATTGTCTCTTATGGTGTCCCTGTATCAGACCTGGATATATGTATAAATGCTTTTTCTGATCATATGCCTATTGCATTCAAGGGTAGTTTCTCCTGTGCAGTGGGTGCAGTATGTGTGCCTACTTGGCACAGCCGGACAATTAATTCTTCTACGGCTGGACTGTTTGTTGCTGCGTTTGATCAGGCTGCTGCGCAACTGGATGTGGCCACCGGCGATGCAGAGGGCCTTAGTTCCTGGTTTGATCTTTCCTGTTACTCCATAATGGACTTGGTGGCCCTGCCGAAAATTCAGCAACTGAGGTTGAGGCCGGAACCCTGGTTTGGTACTGAAACTCGAGCAGCGAGACAATCCTGCTGTAAGGCAGAGCGTTGGTGGAAGAAGGATGGATTACAGGTGTC